CCTAGTAGCTGGGGCTACAGGTGCATGCCACCACACCCGGATCATTTTTGTATTTTTAGTAGAGACAGGTTTTCACCATGTTGGCCAAGATGTTCTCAAATTCCTCACCTCAAGTGGTCCACCTACTTCTGCTTCCCAAAGTGTTCGGATTACAGGGGTGGGCCACCATGCCCAGCCTATAGTTTCTTTTTAATTTCTATTTTATTTTGAAATTTTATTAAAAATGGCTGTTGAATTTTTGATGCCTTTTCAGTTTCTGTTGGCATAATAACATGGGTTTTCTCCTTTAATTGCCTCAGGTCATGAATTATGTGAATAGAGTTTTTAGAGTCTTGCTATGCTGCCCAGGCTGGAGTGCAGTGGTCATTCACGGGTGCATTGATAGTACACAGTACAGCCTTGAACCCCTGGCCTCCAGCGATCTTCCCACCTCAGCCTCCTGAGTAGCTGAGACTATAGGCACATACCGCACCTAGCAATGTTAATAGATTTCTCAATGTTGAATCATTTTTGCTTTTATAATTATAATTTTGTACAGGCAGGATCATGCTATGCTGCCCAGGCTGGTCTCAAAGTCCTGGCCTCAAACAATCCTCCCAACTTGGCCTCCCAAAATGCTGGGATTACAGGCGTGAGACACTGTGCTCAGCATTTTTTTTTTTTTGCTTTTCTTAAATGGATCCTACTTGGTCGTGGTACATTATTCCTGGCCACAGTGCTAGATTCAGTTTATTAATATTTTATTTGGAATTTCTACATGTATATTTTGTGTAAATATTATCATATTTTAATATATTATATTACCACATGTAAGGCTATGCTAGCTTTACAAAATAAACTTCGGATGTTTTCATCTTTTTCTGTGGTCTGATGACTGGTGCCTCTCCCTAACCTATTACCATCTATGATGAGATAAATACAGAAATTGAGAGGGTTTAGAAACTGTTATAGCAATTTGACATCATTATGACATCCAAGCAGTGATCAATGGACTCATCAATAAGTAATGTATTCAGGTGTTTGTAATTATGTTCTTTCTTTTCTTTTCTTTTCTTTTTTTTTTTTTTTTTTTTTTTTGAGACAGAGCCTCATTCTGTCACCCAGGCTGAAGTGCAGTGGCCCGATCACAGCTCACTGAAACCTCCTCCACCTCCCAGGTTCAAGCAATTCTCCTGCCTCAGACTCCAGAGTAGCTGGGATGCACCACTGCATCTGGCTAATTATTGTATTTTTAGTAGAGATGGGGTTTCACCACGTAGGCCAGGCTGGTCTCAAACTCCTGACTTCAGGTGATCCACCCACCTCAGCCTCCCAAAGTGGGATTACAGGCATGAGCCACCGTGCCCAGTCCTAGGTTTAATTTATTATTATTATTATTATTATTTTGAGATACAGTCTCACTTTGTTGCCAGGCTGGAGTGCAGTTACAGGATCTCGGCTCACTGCAACCTCTGCCTCAAAGGTTCAAGCGATTCTCTTGCCTCAGCCTCCCAAGTAGCTCGGACTATAGGTGCATGCCACCATGCCCAGCTAATTTTTGTATTTTTAGTAGAGATGGGGTTTTACCATGTTGGCCAGGATGGCCTCAAACTCCTGACCTGAGGTTATCTGCCCGCCTTGGCCTCCCAAAGTGCTGGGATTACACACTTGAGCCACCACACCCAGCCTATTTTGATTATTTTTAAAGAAAATTTAATTTTATTTCTGATTATTTTAAAAATTTGAAAACTGGTGTTGCACTTTATGTCTGCTTATTATTTAATTTTTCTAGTCTTTAAAATTAGCCAGGCCGGGCGCGGTGGCTCAAGCCTGTAATCCCAGCACTTTGGGAGGCCGAAGCGGGTGGATCACGAGGTCAAAAGTTCGAGACCATCCTGGTCAACATGGTGAAACCCCATCTCTACTAAAAATACAAAAAATTAGCTGGGCATGGTGGCACATGCCTGTAATCCCAGCTACTCAGGAGGCTGAGGCAGGAGAATTGCCTGAACCCAGGAGGTGGAGGTTGCGGTGAGCCGAGATCGCGCCATTGCACTCCAGCCTGGGTAACAAGAGCGAAACTCCATCTCAAAAAAAAAAAAAAAAAAAAAAAATTAGCCAAAAAAATTAATTAATTAATTAAAATTGGAAAAAGTAGGCCATGGTGGCTCACGCCTGTAATCTCAGCACTTTGGGAGGCCAAGGTGCGTGGAGGCCAGGAGTTTGAGACCAGCCTGGCCAACATGGCGAAACCCTGTCTCTACTAAAAATACAAAAATTAGTCTGGTGTGGTGGTGCACCTGTAGTCCCAGCTTCTCAACAGGCTGAGACATGAGAATCCCTGAACCCAGGAGGCAGAGGTTGCCATAAGCCATGATGTTGCCACTGCACTTCAGCCTGGATGACAGAGCAAAACTCCATCTCAAAAAATAAAGAAAGAAAGAAAAGAAAAGAAAAAGAAATGACAAAATTATATGTCCACAAAGCTCTAAGTTTTAAAAAAAACTTGTTCTTCACTACAGATATTTTGAAAAACACTGTCTAGAATGGACTAGATAACATTGAAATTATTTGTTCTTTAAAGGTTAACTAAAATTGGCTGGGAATAGTGGCTCACGCCTATAATCCCAGCACTTTGAGAAGCCAAGGTGGAAGGATCACTTGAGCTCAGGAGTTCAGGACCAGCCTGAGCATGAGCAACATAGTGGGAACCTGTCTCTATATTTTTTTTAATCAAAGCATTATAAAAATAAATAAAGGTTAGCTAAAACTTAGCTAAAACCCAAGTGGACCTGGTGACTGTCTGTTCTCTTCTATGGTTACTGCTCTTTTCAGGTTCTCTACTTCTTAGGTCAATTTTGGTAGTTTATAGTTTGCTAGGAAACCAATCATTCCTTCTACAAATTCACATTTTTTTTTTTTACCCACAGTAGTTTCTTAAAATCTTTATCATATATCTATGTTTTTATCAACTTGCTCATTACTAATATTTTTTCCCTCTTTTCCCCTTCCTTTCTTCTTTATTTTCTTCCTACCTTAATCGGGGTAGCTGAGAATTTCTCTATTTTATTGATCCTTTCAAAAAAACAAAACAAAAAAACACCTTCTTTGGGGGCTGGGTGGGAGGGTCCAGGCCAGGGTAGACAACTGGGTTAGCGCAAGGCCGGTCTGAGCCAAAGGAAAGGAGCGGCGAGGCGGTTCAGTGGACTCAGCAGGGCCAAGGAGAATTCCTAGGGCCGGACCTAGGGTTTTCCGGGCCCCATCTTCAGGCGCCGCCGCCCCGGATGTCATCTTTTCCTCCTTTGTCGCCGCTTCCCCCTCTCCTCCACCCGCACTGGGCTCGCGGTGCCTGGTCCCTCTTGGAGCCGCTTCTGCCACCGCCGCCGCCGCCGCCGCTGCTACTCAGTTGATCCTCTTGCACCAGATGGCCAATCGAGTGATCAGGCTGTACACAGTGGTAGTCAGTCTCGGGACCTCAGCTGAAAACACAGCTCGAAGAGTGGCTTTCACAGACTGGGTTGGTTAACAAAAAGACTCTCTAGAGCCATTATCACACTCCATGGGTCTTTTTCTTCCTGGTGCTTATAGCCTTCCCATCATGTGTCCCCTGTCGCTGTGCATATGAATAGACACAGGACACCTCTGTATGACCTCCCTATTGAGCAAAAGCTGTATGGAGAACCAAAAATTGAACACAGTATGACATACATTGGCCTTATACTGTTAAAGCCATGGAGAACCGTAAGGATGGGTTTACCATCATTCCTGTACTGGTTGGAACTCTGAGTGAGTCAAAAGAACGGGAATCCAGGAAACTCTACAATACATAGCTAGTGCAGCACTGTCCAATAGAGAGACAACACAAGCCACAAATGTGAGCTATGAGTGTCATTTTAAATGCTCTAGTAGCTATATTAGAAAAAGTTAAACAAGTAAAATAAATCTTAACAGATTTATTATTATTTTTTTTTGTTTTGTTTTGGCCCTCTGACCTCAAAATATGAAGCAGAGGACCTATTATTATTATTATTATTATTTTGAGACGAAGTCCTGTTCTGTTGCCCAGGCTGTTTTGCAATGGCACAGTCTCGTCTTACTTTAACCTCCGCCTCCTGGGTTCAAGCAATTCTCCTGTCTCACTCTCCCAAGTAGCTGGGACTACAGGCGTGTGCCACCACACTTAACTAATATTTTGTATTTCTAGTAGAGACAGGGATTCACCATATTGGTCAGGCTGGTCTTGAACTCTTGACCTCAAGGTGATCCACCCGCCTTGGCCTCCCAAAGTGCTGGGATTACAGGTGTGAGCCACCTCACCCGGCCAAATCTTAATACATTTAATCTTATATATCCAAAATAGATAATAATCAATCAATTTGAAAAGTATGAAATATTTTACATTTTTTGCATTCCAAATCTTTGAAATCTTGTCGGTGTTTACACTTACAGCACATTTCCAATCAGATTAGATTTGCTGCATTCCAAGTCCTCAACAGCGACCACCATATTGGACAGTGCAGTTTCTTGTTTCTGCCATTGAGGTCAAAAGTTCTGGACGGTTACTCTGCTGAACCTCCAGGAGAGACTTAGAAAGATATTAACAATCTACAATCTAATCTAGATAAAACATGTGGGAGTACTACATAACAACAATTTTAGCAATTAAAGAAATACAATACTATAACATGTATATTATGTCCCATTGGGTGTCAGTAAATGCTCTCAGGGAGCTCCAGAATATTGAGACACCTGTGAGCTTTTCCTGCTTGAATTATGCCCAGTCAAGCCAGTGTAGAAATTGGCAGGAAAGCCAAATAAGTTGGGCAGCTGGAGCACTGAAGCTCTAGATTTTCAGGGATGCCACTACACGTACCCGTATTTCGTCCACAGTCCCAGCCCAGCCCTGTCCTTCCCCAAATACTGTTTCTGATCCTGGGGTACACTGCAACCTCAAACTAATAGAATGTTCTCTTGTTTTCTAGTAGGAGTAGCCCTTTTTTATTTTATTTTGTTTTATTCAGTCTCCATAGAGACTGTCAAAAATTGCCAATGCCAACTGTATTGCAAGTCATCAAGGCAGAATATTGGGAAACGTTTTCAATTAGCAATAATCTCTCCTCAGATAAACCTCACTGGTTACGATACTGCCACTGCGCAAAGCTGGAGTAGCCCTTTTAAAATTTAAATTGATTGGCTGGGCAGGTTGGCTCACGCCTGTAATCCCAGCACTTTGGGAGGCCGAGGCGGGTGGATCACTTGAGGTCAGGAATTTGAAACCAGCCTGGCCAATGTGGTGAAACCCTGTCTCTATTAAAAATACAAAAATTAGCTGGGTGTGGTGTCCATGCCTGTAGTCCCAATTACCTGGGAGGCTGAGGCAGGAGAATCGCTGGAACCCAGGAGGCAGAGTCTGCAGTGAGCCAAGATCCCGCCACTGCAGTCCAGGCTGGGCAACAAAGTGAAACTCTGCCTCAAAAAAATGTTTTTTGAATTGATTACAAATTTCTTCCTCCTTTAGGGCAGTGAAAGAAAGGCCATCATGAAAATATTTTGATTTACAGTCCCCACCATGGCAGCCGGCCCTTTAAATGCTACTTGTTTTTGCCTAATATAAAATTTAACAGCTCCTAAATGTCCACTCTTTGAAAATTTGTGCACATGTATTCCACTTGAACCATTTTGTAAATTGCACAGAGACCCAAAACAGTGGAAGCATTAATAGATTGAATTTACTTTTTTTGAAAGCCAGCTTTTGGGTTTTCGCTTTACACATTTTTGTTTATTTTTGTGGCAGAAACAGAGAGGCGTTACTCAGCTCCCACTTCAAGAAAGCTCTCACTGTCCTGCTGCAAGGAGTGTGGTTAGCTGCTGCTGCCATCAGCTGTTAGTAGCTCCAAGGTTAGATCACCTTAGTTTCTAAGCCGAGATCATTGTCTTTTCAGGATGCACATGGCTAATGATGGAGCAAAGGGAGGTATGGTGCTAGATCCTTTTCTGCTCAATGCACAACTCCTCTGATGGACACTCTTTGCTCCGGAGCTCCCCAGTGGAGTGGCAGACTTTCTCAGGTGCACATTGCAGTCGTACAACACCCCCTTCCCTTTTTTTCCACAGGCATTACTCCTCTATAAACCTTTTGTACCCTTAACTCCTTAGTATCTGTATCCCTGGCAACCCAACCTGTGACGAGTTTCTATGTCACTCATTTGAGCTTTACCTTTCATTAGTTCCTTATTTGTATTTCTTTTGGATAATTTTGTGGCTTTGTACTTGTGCTTGTAGTATATTATTCAGTGTACATATTTTCCATTTTTCTTTTTTGATAATAAGCGCATTTACAATGGAGTATTGCAAACTACTGAATTTGAATGCTTTTTTTTTTTTTTTTTTTTTTTTTTGAGACAGAGTCTCACTCTGTTGCCAAGGTCTATTTAGGTGATGTAGATGTAGGAAGTGGCTAGATGTGAAAATAAGCAGAGGAAGGGCCTATGGAGAATTGGAGAATACATGACTACTCTAAAAGCATTCAAGGCCGGGCGCAGTGGCTCACGCCTGTAATCCCAGCACTTTGGAGGTCAAGGTGGGTGGATCAGGAGGTCAACAAATTGAGACCATCCTGGCCAACATGGTAAAACCCCGTCTCTACTAAAAAATACAAAAATTAGTGCATTTGTGATTCCTGATGTAAAGCTATACATTGTTTCTTCTAAATAAAGCCTTAGGTGATCCCATAGGTTTTGTTATAAAGCATTTACCTTTTTGTTAGTTCCTAAAAAATTTATAGCTTCTATCTTTTCTTTTTTAATCTAGGAGTAACTTGGAGGTTTCTTTGTGGGTTTTTTTTTCTTAAGATACAGTCTTGCTCTGTCACCCAGGCTGGAATGCTGTGGCATGATCTCAGCTCGCTGCAACCTTTGCCTCCCAGGTTCAAGTGATTCTGCTTCAGCCTCTCAAGTAGCTGGGATTACAGCACACGCCACAACACCCATCTGGGATTTTTGTAATTTTTAGGTAGAGATGGTGTTTCACCATGTTAGCCAGGCTGGTATTAAACTCCTGAACTCAAGTGATCCACCTACCTTAGTCTCCCATTAGTGCGCCATTGCACTGCAGCCTGGGTAACAAGAGCGAAACTCCGTCTCAAAAAAAAAAAAAAAAAAAAAGAGACGGGGTTTTACCATGTTGGTCAGGCTGGTCTTGAACTCCTGACTTTGTGATCCACCTGTCTCGGCCTCCCAAAGTGCTGGGATTACAGGTGTGAGCCACCATGCCCGGCCTTTAGCATCCTATTTCTTGAGCCCTCCTCTCCCTTCCTGAGGCTCTGTCCCACCCTCATGCCCCCCCACACCCCATTCAGTTTCCTCCACTGCCCCTTTCTCCTGCTGCCACCTTCCACAGGCGGTTTCCACCAACAAAAAGAAATCATAACATTTGTTCGTTATCCAGAACCTCCACTCTTTTGACTCCTTTGGTGATGCAAGTAAGGATGATGACCCGCTTCCTGCTGGCACTGAGGATTATATCCACATGAGAATTCAAAAGAGAAATGGCAGGAAGATCCTTACTACTGTCCAAGAGGTCACTGATGAGCATGATAAAAAGAAACTAGTTGGCCAGGGACAGTGGTTCATGCCTATAATCCCAGCACTTTGGGAGGCCAAGGCAAGTGGATCGCCTGCAGTTAGGAGTTCAAGACCAGCCTGACCAACATGGCGAAACCCTGTCTCTCTTTTTTATTTATTTATTTATTTTTGACACGGAGTTTCGCTCCTGTTACCCAGGCTGGAGTGCAATGGCGCGATCTCGGCTCACCGCAACCTCCGCCTCCTGGGTTCAGGCAATTCTCCTGCCTCAGCCTCCTGAGTAGCTGGGATTACAGGCACGCACCACCATGCCCAACTAATTTTTGTATTTTTAGTAGAGTTGGGGTTTCACCTTGTTGATCAGGATGGTCTCAATCTCTTGACCTCGTGATCCACCCGCCTCGGCCTCCCAAAGTGCTGGGATTACAGGCTTGAGCCACCGTGCCCGGCCTTTTTTTTTTTTTTTAAGATGGGGTTTCTCCATGATGGCCAGGCTGGTCTCAAACTCCTGACCTCAGGTGATCCACCCACCTTGGCCTCCCAAAGTGGAAGGATTACAGGCGTGAGCCACCAAGCCCGGCAAAACCCTGTCTCTACTAAAAATACAAAAATTAGCTGGCCGTGATGGCAGGCACCTGTAGTCCCAGCTACTTGGAGGCTGAGGAAGGAGAATCGCTTGAACCCAGGAGGCAGAGGTTGCAGTGAGCCAAGATCGTGCCACTGCACTCCATCCTGGGCAACAAAGTGAGACTTCATCTCAAAAAAGAAAAAATAAAAGAAATGAGTGAAGGCGTTTAACAATAAATTTGCCTGCAATAGTTCTGTAATTGGGCATCCAGAATATGGAGAAATCATTCAGCTACAGGATGACCAGCTCAAGAATTTATGCCAGTTCCTAGTAGAGATTGGACTGGCTAAAGACGATCAGCTGAAGTTCCACGGATTTTAAGTGCTTATGATTCACTGAAGCTTCAGTGAGGATTTCCTTGCAATAAGTAGAATTTCCCCTTTGTCCCTCCTCTCAAGTTTAAAACCTCACAGCTTGTACAATGTAACCATTTGGTATCTACTTCTTTTTTTTAATTGCATTTTAGGTTTTGGGGTACGTATGATCTACTTTTTTTATTTTTTTTAATTTTTTTTTTTTGAGGTGGAGTTTTTGCTCTGTTGCCCAGGCTGGAGTGCAATGGTGCAATCTCGGCTCACGGCAACCTCTGCCACCTAGGTTCAAGCAATTCTCGTGCCTCAGCCTCACGAGTAGCTGGCATCACAGGTGCCCACCACCACGCCTGGCTAATTTCTTTTATTTTTTTCTTTTTTTGAGATGGAGTTTCACTCTTTTTTTTTTTTTTTTTTTTTGAGACGGAGTTTCGCTCTTGTTACCCAGGCTGGAGTGCAATGGCGCGATCTCGGCTCACCGCAACCTCCGCCTCCTGGGTTCAGGCAATTCTCCTGCCTCAACCTCCTGAGTAGCTGGGATTACAGGCACGTGCCACCATGCCCAGCTAATTTTTTTTTTTTTTTTTTTTTGTATTTTTAGTAGAGACGGGGTTTCACCATGTTGACCAGGATGGTCTCGATCTCTCGACCTCGTGATCCACCCGCCTCGGCCTCCCAAAGTGCTGGGATTACAGGCTTGAGCCACCGCGCCCGGCGGAGTTTCACTCTTGTTGCCCAGGCTGGAGTGTAGTGGTGCAATCTTGGCTCACTGCAAACTCCGCCTCCTGGGTTCAAGTGATCCTCCTGCCTCAGCCTCCAGAGTAGCTGGATTACAGGCATGCACCATCACCCGGCTAATTTTTGTATTTTTAGTAGAGACGAGGTTTCACCATGTTGGTCAGGCTGGTCTTCAACTCCCGACCTCAGGTGATCTGCCCACCTTGGCCTCCAAAGTGCTTGGATTACAGGCATAAGCCACCGCGCCCGGCTGGAATCTACTTTTAATTTGGACTAGTGTAACTCCTTCATGCAACAAACTGAAAAGAGTCATGTTGTCTACTCTTGAAGTTCCTCATTTAAACAAAGGTCAAAGAGTAGGCACCTGATAGTATCAAGCCTGAACTGAAGCAATAACGTGATGTTTCACCCAAGCCCATAGTCCTAAGATCATAGACGACTAGGCTATGTCTGGCCAGAAGCTCCTTGGCTCCCTCTGCAGTTTCCTGCACTAAGAGAATGTCACCACCTGCAGGCAGCAACAGCGGCAGTACCACTAGAGGGAGCCTTTGGTGGTAAAAGATCCCCTGATATTTCCAACCTAACCAAGGGGGCAGAGTTTAGAGAGACTACCTTCCCTTTGATTAGGTGATAGGATATCTGGCCTGCCACAAAGGTTTGTGTTTTTTTGTTTTTTGTTTTGTTTTGTTTTGTTTTGTTTTGGATACGGAGTCTTGCTCTGTCGCCAGGTTGGAGCTCAGTGGCACAGTCTCGGCTCACTGCAACCTCTGCCTCCCGGGTTCAAGCGATTCTTCCGCCTCAGCCCCCCAGTAGCTGGGACTACATGTGTGTGCCAAACACCTGGCCAATTTTTGTATTTTTAGTAGAGACAGGGTTTCACCATGTTGGCTAGGATGGTCTCG